GGGGGCCCGTGGCCGCGGGGGGCGCAGGGCCCACGGCCGGGGGGGCCCCTGGCGCCGTCGGCGCTGGCGGAGCCGCCGCCGCCAGCGTCTGGAGCGGCTGCAGGAGCGGACCCAAGGCAGACGGGTCTTGGACGCGCGCCAGAAGGCCCTGCAGCTAAAGCGACGCCCCCCCGACGGACCCCGCGAAAGCCGAGACGCCAGGCGTGGGGCCAGGGCCGAAGGCTTGCGCCGCCTGGGCCGCTTGCTCACGCGCCGATTGGAGCTGGGTTTCGATGTTGGCCACCGCGAGGCGGAGCCCATCGGCCTGCTCCATGATCTCCGACACGAACGCAAGTTTCTTCTGGTACCTCGTGCGGGCGGCCTGCAACTGCTGAGTGAGCTGCAGGCCCTGGTTGGCGGAGACGGCCTGCTGCACCGGCAGGCCCTCCTTGGCACATATACGTTTATGGCGCAACTTGTCACGAGACGAAGCTGCGAGAGACTTGGCGGTTTGCTCGAACACGGCGTCATCCATGCTGAGCCAAGCCTTCTCTTCATCAGGTTGGATGACGCGGCCACGATCGGCGGCGCCGTTGCCCTTAGCTTTGCCGGGGCCACGGCCAGGTTGCCCCGACCATTCGCCAAGGGGTCCGCGAGGTTGACCACTCCACACTCCAGCAGCGCGATGTGGCCAGACGACGGCCGGCTGGGCATGATGAGGATTCCAGGCGCGGCACCACTGCATGGCGCATCTGCCCTTGTTGCCCCAGTTGAAGTGGCCGCACGTGGCGCAAGACCAACCCATGGCGACACACAGAGCAACAGTGAGCACAGTAACCGAAACCGTGGCGGTTGGACGTGTAGGTGCTCCGACAGGAGCTCACAGAATTGCTGAAGAGCGCGGGGGCTTTGAGCCCAAGCTTGAGCCAAAATGGCTTGAGCCAAAATGGCTACGGACCTTCTCCTCTGCCTCCTTCTCCTCCTTGTCCATCTCCTCCTTTTCCTTCTGCTCCTGCTCGTGCTCCTCCTCCTCCTCCTCCTCCTCCTTCTCCTTCTGCTCCTGCTCCTCCTCCTCCTTTTTCCTCTCCTCCTCCTCCCCCTCCCCCCCCTCCTCCTCCCCCTCGTTTTGCTACTCCCTATCTCACTTCTCTTTGTCCTTCCTGTCCGCTTCCGCCACCGCTTCCTCCTACTCCTCTTCATCACTTCCTCCTCTTCCTTCTCATCCTCATTCTCCTCATCCCTGCTGCTCTCCGCCCATCAAATCTTCCCATCATCCCCCCTCTCTCTATCCCTGGAAACACCGCGCCGCAGGCCCCTGGCAGTCAGCGCTGGCCGGTAAAGAGCAGAGAAGAAGAAAAGATGAACGAACAACGGCATAAACATAAATTGTTGGAGGTCCACGCGGATTTCTTGGATCTGCGCTGAGCCACCTCCATGGCGCGCGGCGCGCGCCAGGGGCAGCGCCGGAGGCGCAGCCAGAAAGGGGGCCCAGCGCGGATGCAAGAAACCCGCGCGGACCTCCAACAGTTAATCGTTACGCCGCTGTTTCGTCTTCTGCTACTTCTTCTTCTTCGTCGACAGAGAGAAAGAGAGAGAGAGAGACAGAATGAGCGAGAGAGAGAGAGAGTGAGAGAGTTGATTTCCATTTGATGAGAAGCAAGCCAACGACGACGAATGTTCAGGTGGTGAGGCCGAGGCTGGCGGCTGGGGGGCCGAGACAGGCGGGCGGGCACGCGGGCAAGGTCAGAAGGAACCTTGCGGGCAGGGAACCGGGATGGTGAAGGCGGATCTTGCGCCTGGTCCACCAAACCCCCTCGAGTCATGAAAACATCACGACGGAAGGTTGTTCTGTACGCGATGGAAAAATCATCACGTCGGGGGTCTGGGCCTCATGCTCATCAGGTCATCGGCCTACATCGCCTTCCTTTCTTTCACGTCCTTCGTCTACGTCCGAAGATCCCACTGCGCGAACCATTTGCCATACTGCACTCTGCAAATTTCTGGTTTCATGCAGGGGGGCGTTTCTTTATGTTCGGCGATGACGGGCGTCATGGGGGGGGGGAGCGCGGGGAGGGGGGATGATGTAACGCCGTTCCCCCCCCCCGCCGTGAAGCTCCGGTTCCACAGCCGCGCCCGCGCGCACGACGCAACGAGCGACAAGCGACAACGACGACAACGCGAGCAGCATGTAGGTGGCGATCTGCTCCACTATGCCTGCGTACACCACAACACTCGCGTGCACCACAGCGCGCGTGTACACCACAGCGCGCGCGTACATCGCAACAACCGTGTGCAACGCAGCGCCTGTGTAAACTGCAGTGCTTGCGTGCACTACAGCGCCGGTGTACATGTGCACACCGCAGCAACCATGTGCAACACAGCGTCTGTGTACACCACAGTGCTTGCGTGCACCGCGGCGCCTGTGCACGCCACAGCGCCTGTCTACACCACAGCATCCGCGTGCAACGCAGCGCTATTGTACACCACAGTGCGTGCGTGCATAGGACAGGTAGAAGGAGCCTGTGCGTGAGGATCTGCTGCGGAAACGCCACGCCAGGAAAGTGCTGATAATCGAATGCGACGTTTTTCCCTCTTCTTTTCTCCTCCACATCCACCTGCTGCTCCTCCTCCTCCTCCTCCTCCTCCTCTTTCTCTTCCTCCTCCTCCTCCTCCTCCTTACCCCCTGTCGTGCGGGTTGGCGCTACAGCGCACATGCGCAACTCAGCGTGCACCGCAGAATGGTCTATTGAATCGGCCCACTTGGTTCGCGGACGGCCAACTTAGCTGGAACCACCTGGACGCAAATGGGAGGAGTTACGGTGATACGGGCGTATTCGGAAGGACTTGTAGATTCCACTGGCGCTATCTTGTCCATAAAAACTATTTTCTAATGTTTTCGGTGGGATCCACAAACGCTCCATTTTATCATAACGACTCATACTAACATTCTACATACAGCAGTGGTGCTGTGCTGCACACGGTTGCTGTGGTGCACACAAGCGCCGCGGTGTACTGCAATGCACGCAGGCATTGTGGTGTACACTGCTGCGTTGCACACGGCTCATGTGGTGTCCGCAGGCGCTGTGGTGTGTGCACAGAAAAGCTGTTGTGCTCGCGCGCGGCGGCAAAAACTGACGCTGTGTTGCACGCGGCTGCTGTGGTGTACTAGGCGGGTGTTGTGTACACACGCGCTGTGGTACACGCAGGTACTGACGTGTACACAGGCGTTGTGGTGCAGATCGCCACCTACATGCTGGTGCCACCCGTCCTTCGCCATTCCTGGGCATTCCCAGGCGCCGCCGGCGCGAAGCGTGACGTCATCGACCCCCTCCACTCCCCCCGATGATTGCCATCATCGGCCCAGAATAAAACAAAACAGGCTCCAGCCGCGTCCGCGCGCACGACGACGATGAGCGACGAGCGACAAGCGATGAGCCACGAGCGACGACGACGACTGTGGACCAGACTCCTATGCGGATTCCTACGCGGACACCTACGCAGATCCCAATGCGCACGGGGCAGTGCCCGGAGCGCACTGGGGGGAGAGCGTTACGTAATTGGGGGTGGGGTGGGTGGGGGCCATGACGCCTGTCATGCCCCAGGCAGCTGGGCGACTCGAACGTGGCACCCACCACGCGAGTGCACGCTGCTTTTTCAATTTGGGGTATGATGCGCTTGCGCTCCATCACACAAACTTGATGGTGCCACTTGTGATGCCATAAATTCGACGCCCCTGTTGCCTTGCCGACTGCACGAAAATCTTGCACCTCCGCTGGTTTCCGCGACGGCCTGGCTGCCACGCAACCACCTCAGGCGATCGCCTTCTGATCCTGGAGCCGTCCACGTACTCCGTACTCGACGTGCTGGCCCTCACTTGCGTCGCGCTTCTGAAGAACCCGGGGCAGACGCATGACCTCCGTTTCGACACCCTGGAGCGTATGCAGCAGCGCCGTGGACGACGCCCTCATATGGGCGATGCGCAATCGTCAGGATTTTGTTGGACGCCGCCGAGGAGTTGGGTACCTGAAAACCAGGAAGGTCCTCGCCCTGAGTTCATGCATATCCTGTACCCGCTGCCCAGTCTGCTTCATCGAGATCCCGAGGTCGGCCATCACACTCTGCAAGGCCGACTCGCGCGTCGACTGCTGTTGCTGAGCCTGCTCCATGGCAGCACGGCGCAAGGCGAGCTGGTTGCTCAACAGCTTTGCAAGGTGACGCTGTGCCTCGCGTCGCTGATCGACTGCGGAATCATCGAATGAGTGCTGTCGATTCCCGATGATGGCGGAAGCGCGCCCAGCAAAGCCTCAAACGACTTGACCTGGTGCACTCTCGGCGGCCGTTGGAGACGTGCGCCGTGGCGGACCCGATCCATGTGCCGAGCTCCTCCGCACCCGACGAGGCCGTGTCCGGCGGCAAACCGGCGTTCGGCGAGACCGCTTGTGCCCAACTATTCTTGATACCACGCCCATGGCACATTCTGTTCGCAAATAACGATGACCACGCGCGGTAGCTAGGAAGGCGGCACTTCCACCACGGCTCCCGACACCACTGGCCCTGCTGCTACAGATCTGTCGCCGAACGGTCGGGACCGTCTATCCAGAAAGGACAACAACACACGGACTGCGGAAAGGAGGCTCACGCTTTGGCTCAAGGACCTCCTGGCTATGCCTCGAGGTAAAATGGTATAGGCCCACGTCGCCATCCTCCATTACCTGGCATCTGCTGGTAACAATGCATATCCCCTCTGACCCTAGATAGCGTCCCGAAAATGTCCTCCAGCGCTCCCGTAGTGTACTTTCAAATTCTTGGCTCGGTCGATAGCGCGCTGCCCGCACAAACTCCGAGCCCCAAAGGACCCCGACGACACTCTTAGGATCACGATCCGAATGCTAGAGCCAGGAATTGAAGGACACATGAGGCTCCCTATAGTTGCCAGGCAACCTCCTCATCCTCCTTCTCCCCCACGTCCTGCCTCCTCGAACCTCCTCCCCACCGTCCTGCCCTCGCGCCCTCCCGCTCGCCCGGTGGAACGCGCTCACGAACGCATTGTCAGTGCCCCTCGGCGGTTGCGAGAAGTGGTGGTGGTAGTGCTGCTTGGGCGAAGGCGTCTCTGTGACCTCTCCGCGTGAGGGCATGATCAATCCGCCGACGGCTTGGGGTTCATCGGCGTGTGAGACGCTTCCCCCTCCCCAAACCCCTCCCCCGGGACCCCGGTCCAGTCGATTTGGAGGGGGGGGGTCCCCGGGGACCGCCCGAACGCGACATAGGGGACAAGGGGCCCCAAAACAGGCCAAGAGGGCCCCAAGAGGGCCCCAACAGGCCCTTGGGGCGGTCTACGAGGGCCACGAGTCGGTGAAAGATCGATTCAAAACGCCCACGCTGATCTCCAGACGGCCCAAGAGGCCCTCAAGACGCCCGAAGAAGCCCGCAAGAGGCGTCTCAACAGGGCCTCCAGAAGCAAACCAATATCCCAGTCCCTTTGGAAAACATACACTTTTAGCACAGTCGCCTCTTGGGCGTTCACAGCGTCCCAGACGGCCCAAGAGGCCTTCAGGATCGCTCCCAAACGGGCAAAGAGGCCCCCGAGAGGGCCCCACGACGACGCAAGAGGGCACCAAGACGGCCCAGGAGGGCCCAAGGACAGCCCCAAGAAGGGGCCCAGAGGGGGAACCCGAACGGACAGCTCGAGTCTTCCACCCCCCAAGACGTCTCGGGGTTGCCCCAAGAGCCCCCAACAGGCCCCCAAGTAGCCCCAAGATGGCCGCAAAAAGGCCCCGTGCCAAAGACCAACCGAGAACCATTATTGGGGTGATTTGACAGATGCCCGCCGTCTGTATATGTGGGTTCTCGTCCGTTTCTCCATGCGCGCACGGCGGATACTGCGAATGTCAGTCCACGAGAACCCGAAAAGGCCTCCCAGAGGCCCCCTCGGAAGCCTGAAAAGATCTCCAAAAAGCTCCTAAAAGGCGCACGAGATGCCCCCAGGAGCAACACGCAATAACCGCCGTTTCCCGAAGGGTCGGCGGTGTGGCGTAAGTCCAAGAATCCACGTCCGGAGGTGACGTGCTGAGCGGCAGCGTTTTCCGGCGAACGTCTTACTGCAACGTATCCGTACCAAACTGGCGGCCCCCCTTTTGGGGCCCCAAAACGTACCAAAACGTATGGGAAATCAATGATTTCGGCGCATTGGCCCTCTTGGGGGTCTCAACGGGCCCCAAGACGGCTCCAGATGGCCCCAAGACGGCCCAAGACGGCCCTAAGACGGCCCGAGATGGCCCCAAGAGGGCCCAAAAAGAACCCAAGACGGCCCAAGAGAGCTCCAAGAGCGCCCACAAGAGCGCCTCCAGAGGCCAAAAACATTGATTTTCCTTACGTTTTTGAAATATTTTAGTTTTCTCTCCTTCTTCGCCTCTCCGAAGCCCATGACGGCCCGAGCAGCCTCCAAGATGGCCCCAAGAAGGCCCAAGAAACACCCAAGGGGGCCCCAAGACGGCCCCAGAGGGCCACAAGACGGCCCAAAGAGGCCCCCAAGACGGTCCAAGAAACCCCTGAGACGGCCCAAGAGGACCCCAAGAGGGCCCCAAGGCGGCCGCGAGAGGCCCCCAAGACGGCCTCCGAAGGGGCGAAACGGCGCGAAAGCGCCCCAAGACGGCCCAAGACGCCCCCAAGAGGCCCCAAGAGGCCACCAAGAGGCCCCCAAATGGCCCCAAAAAGCCCCCCAGAGACCTCCGAAAAGTCCCCAAGAAGCCTCCAAAAGGCCCCAAAGAAGCCCCCCAAAGGCCACATAGCGACTGGAGTGTAATATTATTTCCCCCCCTGGACGAACTGCGGCGCAGCGCCAGCCAGGTGGAAGTTGGTCACGGCGGCGCCCATGATTAGAGCCAGCGCTGGAAGGGAAGATGGGGAGGGAGTCAAAAAAGGGGGGGAAGAGGCCAGAAGAAGTCACCAAGAGGCCCAAAGAAGCTCCCAAGAGGCCTCCAGGAGGCCCCCAAGAGGCTCCCAGAAGGCCCCGCGACGTGACTGTACGTGCTCCGGACGTGCACCCCGCGAAGCGAGAGGAATCCACGTCCGGAGGTGACGTGCTGAGCGGCAGCGTTTTCCGGCGAACGTCTTACTGCAACGTATCCAATTTATCCAATGATTGCATACTTGCCACATGTTGCATTGTGTTACATTATTACGTCTCCCCCCCTTAACCCCCCCTGGGAGCTGCGCCACACCGCCGGACCAAAGTGCCCCCCCCCTCCCGGGGCTCAAAAACCAACCAAAACCGATCGAAAATCTATGATTTCGACTTCTTGGGCCTCTTGGGGGGCCGAGAGGGCGCCAAGACGGTTCAAGATGGGCTCTGTGCGGGCCAAAACGGCCCCGAGACGGTCCGAGATGGTTCCAAGAGGGCCCAAAAAGCCCAAATGACGGCCCAAGAGGGCCCCAAGAGCGCCCACAACTGCGCCTCCAGAGGCCAAAACTATTGATTTTCCCATGATTTGGGCACTAGTTTAGCGTTCTCGCCTTTGCGGTCCAAGCAGCTTCGCAAATAGCTCCAGCACAACCCAAGAAGCCCCCAAGAGGGCCCCGAGACGGCCCAACAAAACCCCAAGACTGCCCAAAGAGGCCCCCAAGACGGTCCAAGAGGCCCCTATGACGGCCCAAGAGGACCCCAAGACGGCCCCAAGGCGGCCGCGAGAGGCCCCCAAGACGGTTTCCGAAGAGGCGAAACGGCGCAAAAGCGCGCCAAAACCGCCAAAGACGCCCCCAAGAGGCCCCAAGAGGCCCCCAAGGGGCACCAACAAGCCGCCAAGAGGCCTCCAAGATGTTTTCAAAAAAGCCTCCCACGGGCTCAAAAAAAAAAAACCTCAAGGCCACACATCCAATGTGTCCAATGTATGCAAAGATCCATACTTGCAACGCCTTAATGCAATGTATCCAATGTATGCAAAGATTCCATAATTGCAGCATATTGTATTGTGTTGCGTTATTCTGTCTCCCCCCTAACCCCCCTGGGAACCGCGCCGCAGCGCCGTACCAAACTTGTCGCCCCTCCTTCCGGGGCCCCAAACCTGCAAAAAACTATTAAAGAATTCAACAAATGTGGCCTCTTGGGCCTCTGGGCGCTCCAAGGGGGCCCCAAGACGGCCCAAGATATTCCCAACGGGGGCCCGTGAGGCCCCACAGACGGCCCCAAGAGGGCCCCAAAAACCCCAAGGACGGCCCCAGAAGGCCCCAACAGCGCCCACAACTGCGCCTCCAGAAGCCGAACTCATTGATTTTCCTACGGTTTCTGTAATATTTCAACGTTTCCACCTTTTTCGACATTCAAAAATCAATGACGGCCCAAGCAGCTTCCAGAATCGCCCCAAAAACAACCCAAAAAGCCCCCAAGAGGGCCCCAAAGACGGCCCCAAAACGGCCCAAAGAGGCCCCCAAGACGGCCCAAGAGGCCGCGAAGACGGCCCAAGAGGACCCCAAGAAGGCTCCAATGCGGCCGCGAGAAGCCCCCAAGACAGCCTCCGAGGGGGCGAAAACGGCGCAAAAGCGCCCCAAGACGGCCCAAAACGCCCCCAAGAGGCCGCAAGAGGCACCCAAGAAGCCTCCAATAAGTTCCCCAGAAGCCTCCAAAAGGCACCCCAAAAAACCCCCCAAAGGCCACACAGCGACTGGAGTGTAATGTTATTTTCCCCCCTCTGGGCGAACTGCGGCGCAGCGCCAGCCAGGTGGAAGATGGTCACTGCGGCGCCCATGATGAGAGCCGGCGCTGGAAGGGAAGATGGGGAGGGTGTATGAAAAGGAAGGAGGGGGAAAGGCCCCAAATAAGTCACCAAGAGGCCAAAAGAATTTCCCAGGAGGCCTCCAGGAGGCCCCTAAGAGGCTCCCAAGAGGCCCCGCGACGACGTGACTGTACGTGCTCCGGACGTACACCCCGCGAAGCGAGAGGAATCCCGTTGTTCGGCGAACGCCCTACTGCAACGTATCCAAATGATCAAATGATTGCATACTTGCCACATGTTGTATTGCGTTACATTATTACGTCTCCCCCCTTAAACCCCCTCTGGGAGGTGCGCCACACCGCCGGACCAAAGTGCCCCCCCCCCTCCCGGGGCTCAAAAACCTACCAAAACCGATCGAAAATCTATGATTTCGACTTCTTGGGCCTCTTGGGGGGCCGAGAGGGCGCAAAGACGGCTCAAGATGGGCTCTGCGCGGGCCAAGACGGCCCCGAGACGGTCCGAGACGGCCCCAAGAGGGCCCCCAAAACCCCAATGACGGCCCAAGAGGGCCCCAAGAGCGCCCACAACTGCGCCTCCAGAAGCCAAAATTATTGATTTTCCAACGGTTTGGGCACTATTTTAACGTTCTCGCCTTTGCGGCCCTAGCAGCTTCGCAAATAGCTCCAGCACGACCCAAGAAGCCCCCAAAACTGCCCCAATACGGCCCAACAAAACCCCAAGACGGCCCAAAGAGGACCCCAAAACGGTCCAAGAGGCCCCTTATGACGGCCCAAAAGGACCCCAAGACGGCCCCAAGGCGGCCGCGAGAGGCCCCCAAGACGGCCTCCGAAGAGGCGAAAAGGCGCAAAAACGCCCCAATACGGCCAAAGACGCCCCCAAGAGGCCTCAAGAGGCCCCCGAGACGCCCCCAAGGGGCCCCAAAAAGCCGCCAAAAGGCCTCCAACATGTCCTCAAGAAGCTTCCCAAAGGCTCCAAAGAAGCCCCCCAAAGGCCACACAGCGACTGGAGTGCAATGTAATTTTTCCAACCTGGGCGAACCGCGGCGCAGCGCCAGCCAGGTGGAAGTTGGTCACAGCGGCGCCCATGATTAGAGCTGGCGCTGGAAAGAAATATGGGGAGGGAGTTTGAAAAGGAGTGAGGGGGGAGACGGCCCAAAGAAGCTCCCAAGAAGCCCAAGGAAACTCCCAGGAGGCCTCCGGGAGGCCCCCAAGAGGCTCCCAAGAGGCTCCGCGACGACGTGACTGTACGTGCTCCGGACGTGCACCCCGCGACGCGAGAGGAATCCACGTCCGGAGGTGACGTGTTGAGCGGCAGCGTTTTCCGGCGAACGCCTTACTGCAACGTATCCAATTTATCCAATGATTGCGTACTTGCCACATGTTGTATTG